TGACAATATTTGGCAGACCCCAGCGTCTGTCACTCCAACAAAGAAGAGAGCAGACCGCAAATACTTCATCGCTCCAAAGGATATGGACTTTCTTTTCACCCACCCACCCCCTAACTCCCTAATAGTGGATTCTGTACGTCACAAGGGTAAACAACGTAACCTAAGAACAACCCCACAGGACAGAGACCACAAAAAGATTGACATTATGGGCCGAAAGGTTTATTATTCGTCCACATTGCTCCTTAGGGCGGCCAATTACACTGCTATGCTCGCAGACTATGATAATGCCAATTACTCAAAGCTCCAGGACCTCCTCCTACACCTTCCGGAGCATAAACAGCCAACCCTGCTTAGTATTATGCAGGAAGGCCTCACCATTTCCCGCACAGCTTTGTAGTCTGCTATGGACGTGGCAGACACCGCGGCTCGAATCACGGCCTCGGCGATAGTGCTCCGCCAAATGTCATGGCTACAAGCCTCCGGCGTACCTAGGGACCTCCAACAAAAGGTCGAGGATTTACCCTTCGATCGGACCAACCTATTTGCAACCAAGACCGATGAGGTGTTGCATTCTATGAAGGACTCCCGTACAACCCTTAGGACCCTAGGAATGTATACTCCTCCATTTAGGAGAACCAGATACCAGCCTTACCAATGACCGAGAGAACCATTCCGCCAACAACCCAAATATGATTTCCGCAAACAGAGATCCCAGTGTCGTAGACCACAACGACGACAACAACAACATGCCACACCCCATCCCCCATCCGGCAAGCAGCAGGTTTGAAGGCCTGGTCGAGAGCCAGGAAGCCAGTCCACTGACCCTCCCAACTGCTACCCTTCAGTTCCACCACCCCCTCCGAGCGTTTTTCCATCAATGGTCCCTCATTACCTCGGACAAGTGGGTTTTCAACTTAGTCCAATCTGGCTACGTCATTCCCTTTACCTCTACCCTGCCCAACCACCCTCCCACCCCATCCCTTTTCAAGGACCCCTCTCACGAAACTGTACTCCTGCAAGAGGTTTCACACCTCATTCAACTGGGCGCAGTAGAACACATACCAACACAATTCCGAGGCCGGGGATTCTACTCAACATACTTCCTAACCCAGAAGAAGACAGGAGGTTGGCGCCCCATCTTAGACCTCAGGCGCCTCAACAAATACATTGTATACTACCGTTTCAAGATGGTTACCCTCTCAACTATCATTCCTGCACTCGACCAACACGATTGGCTTTCGGCTCTTGACCTTCAGGATGCATATTTCCATATTACAATTCATCCTGCTCACAGACGCTTCCTCCGATTTACAGTGGGTACCCAACACTACCAATACAGGGTGATCCCGTTTGGTCTCTCCACAGCCCCCAGGGTATTTTCCAAAACCCTATCGGTAGTAATGGCCTTTCTGCGACGCCAAGGCATCATAATATTCCCATACTTGGACGATTGCCTCATAAAAGCTGCGTCTTTCGACGAAACGAAGGTCATGATAGATACCACAGTAGCCCTTTTACTCAGTCTCGGGTTTCATGTAAATTATGCAAAATCCACTCTATGCCCAACACAGAGACTGGAGTTCATAGGTGCTCTCCTCGATACAATCGCAGCAAGGGCCACTCTTCCCGAACACAGGTTTGCGATAATCTGCGACCTTATCCAAGCAACACAAGCGGTACCAACTGTCACGGTCTGCCACTGCCTCAAAATCCTCGGACACATGGCCTCTACGACATATGTCGTCAGTTTGGCCAGACTCCACATGAGACCTCTTCAGTCCTGGCTCGCTACGGTGTACAGACCCTTCAGGGACCAAATCTCCAAGTACGTCGCTATCCCACCACGCATTATCAATTCCATGCTCTGGTGGACAATTCCTCAAAATATGCTACACAGCGTTCCCTTTCAACGTCCAACTTCTACTCTCATGCTTATAACAGATGCCTCACTCATGGGATGGGGAGCCCATTTGGGAAGCATCACAGCCCAAGGCAAATGGTCATTTGTGGAGCAAACACTCCACATCAACCTCCTCGAGTTACGGGCAGTCAGATATGCATGCCAATACTTCATTCAGCATATAGCCCACAAGACCATCACCATTATGACGGACAATACCACCTGCATGTACTACATCAACCGGCAGGGTGGCGCCCGTTCCCCTTCCCTATGCTCGGAAGCCACCAAATTCTGGACCTGGTGCCTCTCACACGGGGTCACCCCTTCCGCTGTGTATCTTCCCGGAATACTTCCCGATGACCTCTTCGCCAAAAAGAGCAATCGAAAGTGCCACCTCTACTGCTCCAGGGGAGCCCTGGGGAGAAGTTCCCTCTGAGATGCCTTTTCCATCACATGGGACGCCTCCCTCCTGTACGCCTTTCCCCCCTCCCACTCCTACACAGAGTCCTGGACAAGATCAGATCGAACCAGGTACGGGTTATTCTAGTGGCACCTGCGTGGCCCAGACGAACATGGTACCCTTACCTCCTCAAGATGATGGTAACGGACCCATATCCCTTCCCTCCACATCACGACCTCCTCTCACAAAACCACGGTCGAACCCTTCACCCGGACATCCCCAAGCTGAAGCTCCACGCTTGGCTCCTTCATGGCTTCAAGATGCCGAAACTGCCTGTTCAGAACAAGTGAGACACATGCTAATTAATAGTAGGAGACGTTCCACCAGGAAAACCTACCGATACAAGTGGACGCGTTTCTCCCAATGGTATGCTCAAACCCATGCAAGCCCACCACACCTTGCTCCTGTACATACCTTATTGGACTACTTACTCTCTCTGAAACACTCCGGCCTAGCACTCAGTACTATCAAGGTCCATGCTGCGGCCATAGCGGCTTTTCACCGTTCTCAACAAGGCACTTCCTTTCTCGCTGACCCACTGACCAAGCGTTTCTTCAAAGGCCTGCAGAACACCTTCCCTCCGGTCCGGCCACCAGTCCCCATTTGGGACCTGAACCATGTCCTTAAGAGCCTCACAAAACCCCCGTTTGAACCAATAGCAACCTGCTCTTTGTCTCACTTGTCCATGAAAGTGGCTTTTCTCGTCGCCATTACCTCCAGTAGGAGGGTTAGTGAGCTTGCAGCCTTAATGGCTGACCCTCCATACACCGTATTTTTACAGGACAGGGTGATACTCCGACCCCACCCTAAGTTTCTACCTAAACTACCCTCCCCCTTCCATGTGAATGAACCCATACACTTACCTGCCTTCTTTCCGAAACCACACACGGAGCCGATACAGACCGTGTGGCACACTCTTGACGTCCGATGAGCATTGGCGTTTTACATACATCGCACGAGACCCTGGCAAGCCTTGCCTAGACTTTTCATCTCCTATGCTGAAAGATCTAAGGGACAAGCAGTCTCATCTCAGAGAATCTCTAAATGGATTACATCCTGCATTAAAACCTCTTATACCCTATATAACAAAGACTTACCTGGATCTATCACAGCTCATTCCACTAGAGCGGTAGCTTCCACGACCGCCTTTCTTCGTAACGTTCCATTGCAGGACATTTGCAACGCTGCTACGTGGTCATCTGACCACTCGTTTGTGTAACACTATGCTCTCTCCACCTCGATAGCATCTTCTATGGCGGTTGGGGCAACCGTGCG